TGAGACGGAGTCTCTCTCTGTTGCCCAGGCTGGAGTGCAGTGGCGTGATCTCAGCTCACTGCAACCTCCACCTCCCAGGTTCAAGCAATTCTCCTGCCTCGGCTTCCCAAGTAACTGGGGTTTACAGGCACATGTCACCACACTCAGCTTATTTTTGTATTTTTTGTAGAGACGGGGTTTCCCCATGTTGGCCAGGCTGTCTCGAACTCCTGACCTCAGGTGATTTGCCCACCTCAGCCTCCCAAAGTGCTGGAATTACAGACGTGAGCCACTGCGCCAGCCACTGTTGTTAATCTCTTACTGTGGGTAATTTAGTAATTAAACTATAAGAGGTATGTATGTATGGGGGAAAAAACAGTAATATAGGGTTTGGTACAATCTGTGGTTTCAGATATCTACTGGGGGTCATAGAACATATCCCCAGTAGATAAGGGGGTACTACTGTACTTGTTGACTCTTCATGTTAGCTCTGCTAGGCAGGTATCATTTCAGAGATGAGGAAGCAAGTTCAGAACAGCTTGGAGTCTTGCTCAGGAAATCGGTATGGTTAATGAATAGCAAGATCCAGTTTCACAAACCCAAGGCATTTTGCCCCCAGAATCTGGGCTCCTTCACCCAATTAGGCTGCCACTACTTTTTTTTTTTCTTTATTTTTTTTAATCCCTGTTTAAGTCAGTCTGACCCACAGTCATCCTCTGCTGACTTCAGAAATAATAATCTGGCCAGTAGACATTTGGCTTCGGTCCTTTAGGCCGTTTGCCCCAGGCATTGTTCTCTATGGTGGATGAAGTTCAGAATGGAAGATGGGAGAGAGGTGATTCTGATTCTAGAAGCACCCATCCCTCCTACCCCATTCCCCACCCACATTACCTGTCATCCTGTCAGCACAGTCTGTCTCTGAAGTGCTCCAAGTTTTCTCTAAGGGCCCATTTGGACTCCCACTTTCAGGACTCCCCATTTGCCCAGAAAACTCCTTGCTGACCTTCTCTGTGTCTTCCTCCCACCCATTCCCTTAGGCTTCCCTAATATCCCCTCCCAGGGTCTCCCTATCTTGATCCCAGAATCTTCCTTCTACAGGTCTGCTACAATGCTGCTGCTGCACAGAGCTGTGGTCCTCAGGCTCCAACAGGCCTGCAGGTAAGCCAGCCCATCCCAGGACTTGCCTCCTAGCCCCTACCTCCCACCCTTAGTTGTCTTTTACAATGTCATACCTTGCAAATAAGATAGTTGAGAGAGTGTGTCCAGGGAGGAGAGAGAAAGCCAGATCCCACTTTTCCCACCTATCCCTGGAGAAACTAAGTTCCAACTGAAGGAACCAATGGCCAACCAGGGAGAAAGAAGTAGACCGCAGGCCTTCACTGACCCTTTCATATGACCATATGTGCTACTAAGACCTCTCTCTCTTCCAGACTCAAATCAATCCCCTCAAGGATCTACATTCAGGCCTGCTCCACAAATGATTCATTTCGGCCCCAGTACCCCAGCCTTACCTTCTCTGGTGATAACTCCAGCACCCGGGGATGGAAAGTCATGGGAACCCTATTAGGTCTCGGTGCAGTGTTGGCCTATCAGGACCATCGGTGCAGGGTAAGTAAGGAAGGTGCTTCATTGTCAGACCAGACTGGGTGTAGTGGCTCACGCCTGTTATCCCTGCCAACTATAGGAGGCCAAGGTGGGTGGATCACTTGAGGTCAGGAGTTTGAGACCAGCCTGGGCAACATGGCAAAACCCCATCTCTAGTAAAAATACAAAAATTAGCCAGGTGTAGTGGTGCACGCCTGTAATCTCAGCTACTTGAGAGGCTGAGACACAAGAATTGCTTAAACCCAGGAGGCTAAGTCTGCAGTGAGCCGAGATCAAGATCGGGCCACTGCACTCCAGCCTGGGTGACAGAGTGAGACTCCATCTCAAAAAAAAAAAAAATTGTCAGAATAAAGGAATCAGTCCTAGTAAACTCCACCCGCAACCCAGGCTGTGACCTGTGTTCTTGCAGTTACAACAGAGTCCACAGTGACAGTCTTCATGCACAGTGGAGATGAAATATGTTAATCTGCTACCTTCACTTCCCAGTGGCCAACACTGTGGGTTGGGTCAGGGCGAGCTAGAGTGATTTCCTCTTTTTTTGTTTTTTTTTTTGAGATGGAGTTTCGCTCTTGTTGCCTAGGCTGGAGTGCAATGGCATGATATCAGCTCACTGCAACCTCCACCTCCCGGGTTCAAGTGATTCTCTTGCCTCAACCTCCCGAGTAGCTGGGATTACAGGCATGCGCCACCATGCCCGGCTAATTTTGTATTTTTAGTAGAGACAGGGTTTATCCATGTTGGTCAGGCTGGTCTCCAACTCCCGACCTTAGGTGATCCGCTCGCCTCAGCCTCCCAAAGTGCTGGGATTACAGTCGTGAGTCACCAGGCCCGGCCGAGTGATTTCTGCTTAACAGTTTCTTCCCTTTTATCTTACTCCTTCCCTGCCGACAGGCTGCTCAGGAGTCAACACGCATATACACTAAGGAGGAAGTAAGTTCCCACACCAGCCCTGAGACTGGGATCTGGGTGACTCTGGGCTCTGAGGTCTTTGATGTCACAGAATTTGTGGACCTACATCCAGGGGGGCCTTCAAAGCTGATGCTAGCAGCTGGGGGTCCCCTAGAGCCCTTCTGGGCCCTCTATGCTGTTCACAACCAGTCCCACGTGCGTGAGTTACTGGCTCAGTACAAGATTGGGGAGCTGAACCCCGAAGACAAAGTAGCCCCCACCGTGGAGACCTCTGACCCTTATGCTGATGATCCTGTACGTCACCCAGCCCTGAAGGTCAACAGCCAGCGCCCCTTTAATGCAGAGCCCCCGCCTGAGCTGCTGACAGAAAACTACATCACACCCAACCCTATTTTCTTCACCCGGAACCATCTGCCTGTACCTAACCTGGATCCAGACACCTATCGCTTACATATAGAAGGAGCACCTGGGGGTCAGTCACTGTCCCTTTCCCTGGATGACTTGCACAACTTTCCCAAGTACGAGATCACAGTCACTCTGCAGTGTGCCGGCAACCGGCGCTCTGAGATGACTCAGGTCAAAGAAGTAAAAGGTCTGGAGTGGAGGACAGGAGCCATCAGCACTGCACGTTGGGCTGGGGCACGGCTTTGTGATGTGTTAGCCCAGGCTGGCCACCAACTCTGTGAAACTGAGGCCCACGTCTGCTTTGAGGGACTGGACTCAGACCCTACTGGGACTGCCTATGGAGCATCCATCCCTCTGGCTCGGGCCATGGACCCTGAAGCTGAGGTCCTGCTGGCATATGAGATGAATGGGCAGCCTCTGCCACGTGACCACGGCTTCCCTGTGCGTGTGGTGGTTCCTGGAGTGGTGGGTGCCCGCCATGTCAAATGGCTGGGCAGAGTGAGTGTGCAGCCAGAGGAAAGTTACAGCCACTGGCAACGGCGGGATTACAAAGGCTTCTCTCCATCTGTGGACTGGGACACTGTAGATTTTGACTCTGCTCCATCCATTCAGGAACTTCCTGTCCAGTCGGCCATCACAGAGCCCCGGGATGGAGAGACTGTAGAATCAGGGGAGGTGACCATCAAGGGTTATGCATGGAGTGGTGGTGGCAGAGCTGTGATCCGGGTGGATGTGTCTCTGGATGGGGGCCTAACCTGGCAGGTGGCTAAGCTGGATGGAGAGGAACAGCGCCCCAGAAAGGCCTGGGCATGGCGTCTGTGGCAGTTGCAAGCCCCTGTGCCAGCTGGACAAAAGGAACTGAACATTGTTTGTAAGGCTGTGGATGATGGCTACAATGTGCAGCCAGACACTGTGGCCCCAATCTGGAACCTGCGAGGTGTCCTCAGCAATGCCTGGCATCGTGTCCATGTCTTTGTCGCCCCATGAGCATGGAAAAGAGCCACCTCAACCCCTTTCCCCACCCATTAGCCTCACTGCTTCAGAAAAATCTTTCCCACCCCTCAACTTCTTGGATCACAACTCTGGCTTCCTAAGCCATACCCAAGTACACATATAGCACATTTCACCCAGGGTCCCTCCCTCTTTGGACACTATGTTACATATCCCTCTTGGCCTTTGAACCTGTGCCAGGAAATGTGAGCTGTTACAGCAAGGGGCTAGAAGTGAGATAAGTAATTCTGGAGACAAGCACTATTTTGTTTTTGTACCCCACCTCCGTTTCTAATGCCTACTGCCATCAAGGCCTTGTTTTACTTTTCTTTTTGGATTCAGAGAAATGTGTGTGGCATGTGTAAGAAAAGTGTATATGCTATTATCTCTCCAGGTTGCAAAGTTGTGAGGAGAGCAAGGGGCACAACCATCTCCCTTTACAGTTCTACTTTTCTAATAAATAGTCTGTTTAAGATCATGACTCTTGGGCCTGGGGAGTGAGCCTATTGCAGGAGGGAGGATGCATTTGTACTGGGATGTATAATGAGATTAGTCCAAAACAAACAAAACTTGGGAGGAAGACAGAGGAAGTAGGCTTGTAGGTTAAGAAGTGTGGCTTCTGGCTGGGCACAGTGGCTCATGCCTGTAATCCCAGCACTTTGGGAGGCCGAGGCGGGTGGATCACTTGAGGTCATGAGTTTGAGACCAGCCTGGCCAATGTGGCAAAACCCAGTCTCTACCAAAAATACAAAAATTAGCTGGGTGTGGTGGCGGGCGCCTGTAATCCCAACTACTTGGGAGGCTGAGGCAGGAGAATCTCTTGAACCAAGGATGCGGAGGTTGCAGTGAGCCGAGATCACACTACACCCCAACCTGGGCGACAGAGCAAGATTCTGTCTCAAAAAAAAAAAAAAAAGGGAGAGGGGGCTTCCTTCTCTGAGGTCTGGCAGTATCTGCAGGGACACCTAGGTGATTGACTTCAGGATACCATGAAGAGAGGAGAGGTGACAAAAACATGTATCCTCCAACCCCTCTCCCCAACAATTCCAATGCACTTGGCAGGAAAGGCAAAGGGTGCTAGGAGTTTAAAATCAATATTGTCTTAGGAGGCTGTGAAAGCAAAATAAATCTCGGGGCCCCAGAATCACTGAGCTAAAGGGAAAAGTCAAGCTGGGAACTGATTAGGGTAAACCTGCCTCCCATTCAAAGTCATCCCTCTGCTCACTGAGATAAATGCATATCTGATTGCCTTCTTTGAGAGGAATACAACCATTTGCCTTTTTTTTTTTTTTTTTTTTTTGTAGAGACGGAGTCTCGCTCTGTCACCCAGGCTGGAGTGCAGGAGTGCGGTGGCGCGATCTCCACTCACTGCAACCTCGGCCTCCGGAATTCAAGCAATTCTCCTGTCTCAGTGTCCCAAGTAACTGGAACTACAGGCACACACCACCACGCCGGGCTAATTTCTTTTGTATTTTAGTAGAGATGCGTTTCGCCATGTTGCCCAGGCTGGTCTTGAACTCCTGAGCTCAGGCAATCAGTCTGCCTCCCAAAGTGCTAGGATTACAGGCCTGAGCCACCAAACCCGGCTTTTTTTTTTTTTTTTGAGACGAAATCTCACTCTGTTGCTCAGGCTGGAGTGCAGTGGCGCGATCTCAGCTCACTGCAACCTCCTCCCGGCTTCAAGCGATTCTCCTGCCTCCGTCTCCCAAGTAGCTGGGACTACAGGCGCCTGCCACCACGCCCGGCTAGTTTTTTATTTTTAGTAGAGACGGGGGTTTCACAATGTTGGCCAGGCTGGTCTTGAGCTCCTGACCTCAGGTGATCTGCCCGCCTCGGTCTCCCAAAGTGCTGGGATTACAGGCGTGAGCCACTACGCCTGGCCCCATTTGCCTCTTATCTACCTAGGACCTGGAAGCCTCCTCCCAGTTTTGAATTGTCCCGCCTTTACATATATTGATTGATGTCTCTCGTCTCCCTCAAATGTATAACACCAAGCTCTGTTCCAATCACCTAGGGCACATGTCGTCAGGATCTCCTGAGGCTGTGTTAGGGGCGTGCGTCCTTAACTTCGGCAAAATAAACTTCCTAAATTGAGACCTGTCTCAGATTTTTGGGATTCACAAGGTACAGAGGGAAAACTTGGCTCTAGGGCCTGACGTGCCAGGCCACATAGGGTGTCCAGTGTGTGCTTAGATTGCAAACTGGGTGCAGATTAAAGGCTAGTTTTTAGGTTACCTTCGGCAGGCGATGGCGCCTTTCGGACTTGCATCTTTCGGCGCTCGGCTACTCTCCCCTAGCTCCTCTCCCTTTTTCCCCCAGCAGTCTCCCGGGCTTGGGGACGCTCGGTGTTCGGCCACGCCGCCTGTCGCCTGGTAGTGGGACCGGAAGTTGTTAGGGGGAGGGGGACGGCTGTGATGGGGGGGGATATATGGGGGGGCAGGTCCCTTCTCAGGTGAAGCTGCTGATGGAGATGGAGCCGCCGCCGCCGCCGCCGCCTC